TTTGTCACAGTCATAATGTATTACACAGAGATTTGAAACCACAAAATCTTTTAATAAATAAGGTATTTTTTTAAAAATATTTAAGTACTATAAGTTAGTCACTTTTGTCTGAATTTTAATATTTATTAAATTTTACAGAATGGGGAATTAAAACTTGCTGATTTTGGTTTGGCAAGAGCTTTCGGAATTCCTGTAAAATGTTACTCAGCAGAAGTAGTTACATTATGGTACAGACCTCCAGATGTTTTATTTGGTGCTAAACTATATACAACTTCTATTGATATGTGGAGTGCTGGTTGTATATTTGCAGGTATGATTGACTTCTAATATTCTATTTTAAAATAAGTGGTAAAGTATGATTAGAAAAATTCTAAAATGATTTTTTGTTTAATTTTAATAATTTTTCAGAGTTAGCTAATGCAGGACGGCCATTGTTTCCTGGTTCTGATGTTGACGATCAGCTTAAAAGAATATTCAAACTATTAGGAACACCTACTGAAGAATCATGGCCTGGTTTGGCTCAATTACCCGATTATAAACCTTTTCCAGTTTATCATCCGTCTATGAGTTTTACACAAGTAGTTCCTAAATTAAATTCCAAAGGCAGGGATTTATTGCAAGTAGGTACCTTGTATTCTATTATCAAGTTTATACTTACTAGAAAACAATAATTTTTTTTTTTTTTTTTTTTGTAAATAGAGATTATTAGTTTGTAATCCAGCTTTACGATTGGCTGCTGATGATTGTATGATGCATTCATATTTTTGCGATGTAAGCCCAACATTGAAAACCGATAGACTGCTATAATCTCATTTTAAAATTTCCACTGTACTTTTAACATTTACTTAATTTATTTTAAAATTTTTACATTTTTTTTTACATGGTGTATTTTATTCATTAATTTTTATTTTTAAAGTAAAAATTGTACTTTAATTAATAAGTAATTTTAAATGTATAAATGAGTAAAAAAAAAAACTTTTAAATAAAATTATAATAAAAACATTGCAATATCTTTATGTATTTAAGGTACAAATTTAAAAAAAATATTCTAAAATTAAATATTATGAAAAAATTTCAATAAATATTTAAAAAATTATTTTATTAAAAAAAAAAATATATAGTCTTTTTAATTGAGTTAAATTTGTAAATTTATCATAAATATGGTTTCCTATATTTGGCTTGAATCCACACTCTATACATTTTTAACATTTTGTCTCTATTTACCTGTAATCTTCGATCAACTAAATTTTGTTCTTCTATAAATCCTTCTTTTTCAAATAATGACTTTATTTCTTCTAAAATTAAAAAAAAAATTAACAATTAAATCAGTAATAAGTCAAAATATTAATTATATTAAGTTAAATATTAACTGTTGACAACCTTGTGTAAAAAAGTACACCATTGTACCATCTCCCCTAGCATAAAAATTATCATCAATACACCTTCCACTTTTAAATCTCAACTGAGCCATGTCATATCTTCCATAATCTCTGAATAATATTTTTCCTCCTGGTTTTAAATAAGTTTTAATTTTTTTTACAACATGTTCAAATCTATAAATTGAAAATTAAAAATCATTATAAATTTTAAAAATTAAGTAATGCAAAAAAAGCAAAAAAAATTGTACTCAATTTACTTTTTAGGACTTATCGCAGATAAAACAAAAATTAATATAACAATATCTATGCTATTTATTTCAAAAGGTGTATTCCACTCATCTAATGTAACATCACATTCGAAACCAAAGCAACGATTTTCATCATAAAGCGAATGCTCCTTGAAGACATTTATGGCAGTTTTAGAAAAATCACAGCCATACAAATATATATTTTTTTTTGAAGTGTTTTGTAATATTGGAAATATTGTATTTCCAACCCCACAACCTATTTCAAAAATTTTAATAGTGTCACCTTCCTGCAAATTATTATCAACATCTAACTCGGGAAATTCTGTGAACAGCCAGTGTCTATCTTTGAAAAACCTATTTTGATGTATGCAGTAAAAAGAATCCCAATGTTTATCAGCGTTTCTTTCCAGTAATTCCTTTTCATCTTCACTAAACTTTTTTTGAGAATTAGCTTCTACTTTTTCAAGTGCTAACTTTTCTTGTTCTTCATCCCACTGTACATTATCCCTAATGTAATAAATTTAACAATCTGTTAAAAATACTTGATGAATATTGTGAATTAAAGTAATACTAATTTGTTTAATACCATGCATTATGTTTAAAAACATCATTTTCATTTGTTAAAAATCGTGTCCCAAATTGAGGTCTTAATTTATTATCATCATTAGATTCATTCATATTTTATTAAAGTTACCATCAGGTTCCGTTGGTTAACTGGATACAATAATGTTATTTTGTTGGCAGCACTGCTTACAAAGGTAGTTTGTAACGAAGAAAACGTTTTTTGGCTGACATCATAGAAAATTATGTAAGTTTTTTGTTTTATTTTTTTACTTAATCAATACCAAAGAAAACCAATTTTTTAAAATAATGATGGAAAACCGTTAAAAAATTAATATATTTAATTAAATTCAAATTTTAAAGTTTTTTATTCGGTTTTTACTCAAAATATTCGTTAGGCAAAAACGTTTACACATTCTATAAGCCATTTCAAAAAAAAAAAAAAAAAAATGGAAATAAGTTTTATTTGAGGAAAAAATTAAAAAATTTTTAAATAATTATTTTTTTAAAAATCTTTTAGAAAGACAAAATTAAAATCAATCGTTAAATCTAATAACACATACTAAATTTTATAGTTTTAAAATTGTTATAAAAAATAACAAAGTTAATGCAAACATTAAGAAAACCAAAAGTTTGTAAAAAAATAAATTTAGGGGAAAAAATAATAAAAATTTATATTTATTAAAGTAAACTTCAAGTTGGATAATAACTGATAAACTCCTTATGTAAATTTTTTGTAAAGAAAAAAAATAAAAAAATAAAAAGGAGAGAATAAAATTATTAACTTAAACAATGAATTACTAACTAAATTTAAACAAAAGCTTCATTTTACTTATTCTCTTAGAGACATGTAATGTAAGAATTTTAATTATAATGTCATTTAATGTACAAATTTTACAAAAAAAAATTATTTTTTTTTTATAATTTAAAGTGAAAATTAACACTTTATCAATAAAAAAAAAAAAAAAAAAAGGAAAATAGAATGCATTTCAATTTTTTACAATTTCATGTATTTGTTTAATAAAATTAATTATCATTGATTGAATTCAATTCAAAAAAGAAAAGCTATAAAAATATATTTTTCTTTTGTTTTCTAGAAAAAAAAAATCTTAAATTTCCATTTTTTTTTTTTTTTTTTTTTTACACCAGTAAATATTTGATTTAATTAATTTTTTTATTTTATTTAAATAATTGAATAGGATATTGAAGGAATTAATAAATAATAATAAATAATTTAAAGGTATTTATTATAAAAAAAATAAATAAATAAAATAAAAAAATATTTTTATGCGCTTTATTTAAAGGTCTATTATTTATTATTATTATAGGAAAATACATTTAATTATAAGTAATTTATATTTTTTATATATATAAAAAAAAAAATTATTTTCCCAATTTATTTATCATTTAATTTAAAAAAAAAAAAAAGCAATATTTTTGTTATTAATAATTTAATTTTAAATGACAAATAATATTTTCAGTCAAAAAATTAATTTAAATGATGAATAATAATAATAATAAGCCCTCTATTTGAAATTTTGGTTTTCATTGAAAATTTCTACTAATTTTGGGTCACAATTTTTTTTTTTATCAAAGTCAAAATAATTTTATTAATTATTTATTTATTTATTGTACGGTTTAGTTCATCTAAAATTATAGTAGGAAAAAATAGATAGAATATTTTGATACTCAGAATGAGTAAAATTTAGAAAAAAAAAAAAAAAAAAAAATTTGATTTACAACATTTAAAAATTTATTTAATAAATTACAATTGAAACAACCTAAAAAAAAAAAAATTTAAATTTTTTATTTAATTGTAAGACGAAAAAATATTATTATTATTATTATTGTATATTTTTCTAATTATTATTATTATTATTATTACTCATGAGATTTTTATTTTGCATTTTCGGGCCGGAAGTAGATGAAATTTTCATGGCACGGGGATACCTTTTCGGCGATTTAACGAATGTTTTTTTTTCAAATTGATCTTTAAATCCGGCCCTGTCAATTTCATCGAAATTCCTTTTTAAATAATCTTTAAAACCGGCATTATCAATTTCATCGAAACTTTTTTTAAGTCTTAAATAATCTTTAAATCCGGCATTGTCTATTTCGTCAAAATTACGCTTGTAAAAATGATCTTTAAAACCTGCATTGTCAATTTCGTCAAAATTTCTCTTATAAAAATGATCCTTAAAACCTGCATTGTCGATTTCGTCGAAATTTCTTTTTGATAAATAATCGGAAAAACCTGCATTATCAATTTCGTCAAAATTTCGTTTCGATAAATAATCTTTGAATCCGGCATTGTCTATTTCATCGAAATTTCTTTTCCCAACTGATGATGGACTGAAAAATAAAAAAAAAAGTAAAATTTTTTTTGATATTTATAATAATAATAATAAAACAAAATTAATATATTTTTCTTTTTTATGATTAATAAGAAAAATTTAATATACGAGATAAAATTTTTTTTTTTTGGGGGGGGCGGTAGGGGGGGCGCGTAGGGTTTTAGTATTAATTAAAAAAAAAAAAAAAAAAAAACGTAGGGGAGAGACAATCGACACCCTTTGATTATTCTAATTAAGATAAGAATTTTCCGTTTGATAAAAAAAAAAGGAAAAATTTTCCAAATCACATTTTATTATTAATTTTAATCGAAAACTTTACTTTTCCTAAAAATATAATGAATGATAATAATAATAATAACTCTTAGTTTTTACGAAAAATTTTACATTAAAAAAAAAAAAAAAAAAAAAAAATTTACAAAATTGATGACGTAAATATCAGGGGTTTTTTTTTTTTTTTTTTTTAAATAGATTTTTTAATAGGTTTTATTCTATATTTTAGGTTATACTAAAAAAAAAAAAATATTTTTATTCATTT